GGGGGGGGGGGGGGGGGGATGTGCCGTGGAAGCTGTGCAGAAGGGTTCAGCCTCCGAACTTTTGTGCATCGGTGGACTTTGCATCGACTACGCTGTCAAGTGGTGTGTAGTGTGCCACGTCTACCTAGGCGACACAGCGCAGAACCATCAAGCTCTATTGAGCACAACTACTAATGCTGTGTGAACGATGCTTGTGTTGAATCAGCGTCGGCCGTTGCCGATTTTGATTTGCGTCTGCGCGGTGTGGTTTGCGTGGGCGGTAGTATCGTCTACATACCCCTCGTAAGTGCTTTCGCCCCCTGATGGTCCTCTCGCCTCTCCTCGCCCCGTTTCTTGGCGTTTATGGCAGATCACGAGCGGGACCTTCAGCCCCTGCCTCAAGAAGCCGGTGGCCATGGGCTACGTCGAGACGGCGCACGCCAAGAACGGTACCGACGTCATGCTCAAGATCCGCAACAAGATGGTGCCGACCGCTGTAACCGCTATGCCGTTCCTCGAGACGTCGTACTACAAGCCGTAAACCGAACACCCTTTTTCTTGGCCCACACGCGTTGTGGAGCAAAATGTGTTGAGGGTGTGCGTTTACGGCAGATCAGTTGTCCTTTTACGGGTGGTTCGAAACCGCGAAAGAGACGGCACAAATTTGGTAGCACAAGCAAGTGTGCAGCAGCAGCGTCCCGCGCACCGTGCTGGTGGTGGTGGTTGGAGCGCTCGTCCTTTTTGTGGTCGAGAGTGAGGATGGTTGTTGTCTGTGTTGACGTGGATCCTTCATGGTGTGCCCGACATGGCATCGCTGACGGACAGCCTCGACAAGAGGCGCCGAGGAGCGTTGCCCAAGGGGGACCGATCGAAACAGGAGTGACAAAAAAATTGCCTCTGCTAAACGCATTGGTCAGTAGAGGATGGGGTATCCCGCAGCGGTGAAGTCTACCACAGCAGTATGTGAGTGTTGTGAGTGGCGTATGGCTACGCCGCTCGACTGGTTTGTGCGTTCGGGTGGCAGAAACAGACTCAGGAATAAAACCACGGGAATCCTGTTTCGACCTTTCCTGTTCGATACGATGTCGAGAGGAAATCCTGTTTCGTGTTTTAGGTGGCTTTGTTTTTTGTGGGGCAGCAGCGGTGTGTGCCAGGAGTGTTGATGTGTTCTACATTCCAGGCTGTAGGGAGGCATATGGTCACGTGGGGGTTTTAACGTTTTCGTTGTCGTTTGGCACCGTTTTGTTTGAGTTTCTACATGTATTGCTCGTTCACATGCGAGCTAGTACGGATCAGAATGATTCTTAAGGTTCTGAGCGGAGTCGGAACAACTATTTAAACGTGCAGGTAGCGAAAACAATATCTCTCGGGGCGAGAAGATATGGTTGATTCTGTACCTAAACTGTGCGCCGGCTGAGTTTTGATGTCGTTTAGGGTCGAGAGACTAGACGATGTCATCGGCCCGAATTTATCTCGAGGGGGTCTGCCAAGCTTTTGTCTTGATGCTGCGGGACCCCTCCCGTATATAGATGGCGCCCGCGCTTAAGAACCGCTTATATTGGCTAAGGCTCGATGCTTATTGGCTGCCTCAAATTGAGCACTTGTTCTTATTTTCAAAGTTCTTACTTCGAGTAGGCATATTCGTATGATACAAGGGGTTCTTGGTTCTTATTTCTGCGCCGAGGGCCCCGTTGGGAGGACTTTTTGCCTTTCTGGGTGGATTCAGCATGACACTTGAGCTGTTCATACAACAGAGTATATTAATAGAAGGTCGCTCAACAGAGACCTCTGGAATATCGACGTATCGCAGATCACGATTGGGTAGAGTTAAATACAGACGCGGTATCGCCTGAACAAAAGACGCATCGGAGCAACCACGTTGAACCATGTAGAGGTCCATCAGGGTCAAGTTTGGCGTGATTGCCCTCCCCGCTCTATCTAACGCCCGTCGCTACATTGCGACCTTCACCCTGCTCTTCGAATGCCGGACCTCCTCCCTGCTCTACGGCGCACTCCCCTCGAGCAAAGCCCACCACCCTACCACCGCACCCACATCTTCACTGTGCTTGTCCAACGTCATTCATGCAGGGCGTCTTTGGTCTAAATGTAACTCGAATTGCATACATACGGTGGCCGTTAAGGTGGCGGGTACGCTCCTGAGACGGCCGCAGCCCAGGCTCAGCTTTACGAGGACTCCACATTCAGCAACAAACTGTCAAGAGCAGCTGATTTTGACGCTTGAATTCGAAAACTGGTGGGTGCGACGAAGGAAGAGGTGTAGGCAAGCTTTCGTCGCCCCCGCGCCGACTCGATGGCCTCCCAGTCTGACTTCGTGGGCAGTTGCCAGCAATGACATGTTCTTTGATGGCCTATAAGTGTCGATCAAGAATTGCACCTCTTATCAACTTTGACAGCTGGCCGAGCTCTTTCAATAGTACAAGGGGTAAAGATATGGCTCTCGTGCATGGCACGCAGCGTGGCAGGCACCCCAATGACACGCGACGAGGGGCATGCCTTGTACAACAAAGCTAAGCACCTACCCCCCCCCCCCCCCCC